AAGCAGCAGCAGCCGCAGCAGCGGCGAAAGGCTTAAAGGGCTCTCCCACACATTGCGCATACGCAGCGTGGCACCACTATAGAGAGGGGAGATTTGTCTGTAGATATGGGAATATTTCCGTTATGAATATTATTTTCTTTATTTATTACTTTTTTGCCATTTTCCAATTGCCTTCAATTTGCCTCAAGTGTCGAGTGCTAAACACGTCTGAAGCCTTTTAACAATTCGCTGCAATTTGAGTTTGAGCCTTTCAGTCAAATTCGTTTCCTTTGACTTATTTTGATAGGTGAAAAGCCTTTCAAAGGAAAATTTTGTGCAGTCATGTTAAAAATTTTCTTTTTCCACATGTTTTGCACAGAAGCGGGAGAAATTTTCTCGATTGCCTCTTTATAACGTTGCTTTAGACAAATTGCTAAGTACTGTCGTCAATCAATCAATCAATCATTCACTTGGTCACTTAGCAGTTGTGTGAATTTATGAATTATTTATRTATTTGATATATTTATATATGTTATGTATAGTATGAAACTAATACACTATAGTAACTCCATATCAACATCTAAACTAATAAGAATATATGTTAATCTTAATATTGTTATATTATATTCGTATTGTTCATGCCTCCAGCCTCAACTGAATAAATCATATTGAGTTTTTTTTTTTTTATAATATAATGCATTTAGCCTTTCTCACATACAAGTACACCTTTTGTGTTTTTCAAAGAGGAAAATGTCTTTTGAAGTAATTTTCCCACATTTTTCAATTTCTCGAAAAAGTGAAATGATCTTTTAACTAATTTTCCCACATTTTCTTCATTTTAAAAATGTAATCAAAATTAACTTTTTGCAGCAGGTTTTTCCAAGAAATTAGTAAAATTTACTTAAGCCCCTTTGAAGAAGTTTCAAGCAATCAATTACTTCACAAATATTAAAATTGCTTACTCCAACTAGAAAATCTTATAGAAATTTCAAACTTTCCAACAGCTTAATTAGCCAGCAATAACTCATTAACACATCTACTAAAATAATACCACAACGCTGGGATTGAACTCCCATCTCAACAATAATACATTATATAATATTAATAATAATAA